CGTACGGTCCCGTGAGGGTTCCTGGCGCGAAAATCGCTAGCTCGGGAACCAAGAAGTTTGGGAGGCTGAAACTTTCAAGAAATGTTCCCAACCCATCTACAACTTAAATATATCAAATTCAGCCCCCCGTTATGCGTGTTTGCCACGTACGGCCCCGTGAAACTTTTTGGCGGGAAAATGGCTAACTCCGGAAGCAGGAAAGCTGGGATGCTGAAACTCTCAAGAAATGTTCCCAACTCACCTACAACTTAAATCTATCAAGTTCAGCCCCCCATTATAAGTGGTTGCCACGTACGGCCCCGTGAAAATTTTTGGCGGAAAAGTGACTAACTCCGGAACCAGGGAAGCTGGGAGGCTGAAATTTTCAGGAAATGTTCCCAACTCATCTATAACTTGAATTTATCAAATTCAGCCCCCCAATATGCGTGGTTGCATGTACGGCCCCGTGAAATTTTCTGGCTGGAATTTGGGTAAGTCGGGGACTGAGAAAACTGGGAACCTGTGATTTCAAGGAAATGGTCCCTGTCCAAGTATAGCGTGGATAATTAACTTCCCGAAATTCGAGGACCAGTATGTACAAGAGGTTTCTAGCCAGCGGAATTTCGAGTGATCTTATTACAGCATGAAACACTGCAAAAACACATGATCGCACGGGCCCGTCCAGTGCACGCCGCCAACGATTATGCGTTTTTTGCAGCTATGCAATGCAAAAACGCATATTGATGAGGGGTTGTCTGTGTGTCCGTGTGTGTGTGCGTCTGTCCCGATTTTTCATTTCAAGACCTATAAAAGCTGCAGGGCTGAAACTTTGAGAACTTAATCTACATGCACGTATGCGTGCCAATCCCCAAAGTGGGCGCCATTACCTTCATGGTACCCACATAAGAGCCCGCCAAAGTTTTTTATGGGCAAGTTCATAACTCGAGGATCTGAGATGCTAGAAAGCTGCAATCTTGAGGGAGTACTCTCCGTCTAAGTGGGTATTAAGGTGCTCAAACCCAGCCCTCAGGTGCGCGTGTTACCCACGCACGAGCCCGCCAAAATTTTTTTCGGGTAAGTTCATAAGTCGGGGATCTGAGAAGCTAGAATGCCGAAATCTTAGGGCAGTGTTCCTCGTCCAAGTAGGTGTTAATGCATCCAAAACTATCCCCCGGGTAAGCGTGGTACCCGCGCACGGGTCCGCCAAAATTTTTTTCGGGTAAGTTCATAACTCGGGGATCTGAGAAGGTAGAAATCTGAAATCATAAGGGTATGCTCCTCGTTCAAGTGGGTATTAATGAGCTCAAGCCCATCCACCTGGTAAGCGTGGTACCCACGTGCTAGCCAGTGAAAGTTTTTTTCGGGCAGTTGATAACTCAGGGATCTGAAAAGCTAAAAGGCTGAAACGTCAAAGAGATGTTCCTCGTCCAACTGGATATTAATGTGCTCAAACTCACCCCTCGGGTGTGCGTGATACCCACACACGAGCCCGCCAAGGTTTTTTCGGCTAAGTTGATAACTCGGGAATTTGAAAAGCTAAAGGACTGTAATTTTAAGAGGATATTTCCCGTTCACCTAAGTCTCACTGAGCTCAAATCCAGACTTCGAGTACGTGTGGTACCCACATACGAGCCCGCCAAATTTTTTTTGGGTAAGTTGCTAACTCAGGAGCCAGGAAGGCTAGAAAGCTGAAATTTTAAGGGGGTGTTTCCTAACAGTTCTGGCGGCCAATCCTAACTTGTCTAGCTAGAAACGTTTGCCGAAAAAACCAGTGCCGGTAGCGACAAAAACTGCGGGGAACTATGCCAGAAACGCATCTTCGCGCGGGCAGCCCGTGCGTTGGCCAGTTATAATATTTTTGCTCATACGCAACTAGATGGCGCGTATGGACCCCGAAGAAAATATGCATATTTCTTTGGCGGGAAACGATTTCGCGAACCAGGAAAGGTACAAAGCTGAAACTTTGCAGGTATATTTGTGCATGCGTGAGCTAAAGATTTCAAATTCGCAACCAAAGCAGCAAGAGCGCTGAAATTTTCTGAACGTGACCCACTAGCCGGTTTGAGCAAGCGCACGCGAAGGCAACATCAGTGTTGCCCTTCACGTACGAACACGTGAAATTTGACGTAACGGAACCAGAGCAGCAAATGTGCTGGAGCTTTCTGGACTTGGCCCTGGACCGTGCTTGGGTAAGCACACGTGTTAACAGCATTGACGTTGCCACTCACGTACGAACACATGAAATTTGACGCAACTCCGCAAATGAAGCATCTAAAGTACCGAATTTTTTGGGCATGAATTGAGAGTCATTGTAATAATTTTTAACAGTCGTGTTGGTTGCTCTCAATTCTCTTACCTAAAAGCATCTGCCGAAAAAAACAGTGCATTAGCAATAAAAACTTGCGAAAAACTGTGCAAAAAACGTATCTTCGAACCGGCAGCCGGTGCTCTGTCGACTAAGTTATGCTGTGCAGCGTTATACGATTGCTACATTGGGCAAAAACGCACATTGTCGAGAGGTCGTCCGTGTGTGTGTGTGAGCGTTCGGAAGTGAGTGAACTTTGTCACCCACTTTCAATTCGGCAATCAGTAAGGCTGGGTGGCTGAAATTTTAGGGGCACATTCCCATCCTATGTGTCACCATTCTGTTTTAAAATCACGGCTCATATGCACCTAGATCTTTTATAGAGACCTTTGAAAAAAATATGCAAATTTCTTTGGCAGGGAACGATTTCGTGAACCCGACAAGATAGAAAGCTGGAACCTTGCAGGGATATTCTCTGTGTATGTATGAGCCAAAGATTTCAAATCCAGCCATCGCGTACGCTTATACCGCGAGTACGATCATGTAAAAGTTCGTAGTTGGCGCTGTGGCAAAGCGAAAATTAGCCGAAAAACAATAACTGAAATTTTGTCAAAATATTTATTATTCACATGGAAAGTCGTATATGTAAATTGATTATTGATTTGCACTTGCGCTACGACTTAGGGCATTTCAAAGATATTTGTAGCAAAGTGGCTATTTTGCTTGCCGGACGAGCTACGAAGCTGAAACTTTGCAGGGATATGATGTATTCACATGCGGTCTTAATTCATTTTAAAGGTGAAATTCCAAATACTCAATTTGGAATTTCACCTTTAAGCTGAATTAAGACCGGGCATAACAAATACTCAATTTTATCGCAAACTCAAAAGCGAGTGCATTTTGCAGATTTCGTAATCCTCTTCCGACTTCCTTCAAATTTGCATTTTTTCGATGAACGGTTGCTCACCAGAAAAACGAATGGACTTCATGCAAAAAACTGATAATCATGCACGCTGGGATTCTACACGGTACCACAGTACAACACTTGTTCCCCAGCCGATGCCCTTTCCCCCTTCATGTAGAAAAAGGCCAAAACATAGTAGCCAATATGAGACCAAATGCTAAAGTACAGCTCAGAAGCCAATCCTGCTGTTAGAGACCTGCAAGTTTAGCGCAAAAACACATGTTCGCGCCGGCAATTCTGGTGCGTTCCAGCCTAGACTATTTTTCTATTCTGACATATGTGTTCAGGTTCAATACAGACTGAAAATGTAATTTTAGAAGCAAGTAAATTATGAAACTGAAATATTGGTGCATGGTCAAAAGCTCATTGTAACAAGATTAAAGCAACATTCGCATTTTCAATATATTTACGCACTGAGTCTGTAAAGGTTTATCGCTAAATCTCATAAACGCGCCACTGTTTACCCAGACATTGCCATAAAATATTTTTCGCTTCACGCTTTGAGCTACTTCAGACTTTACTGATGCTTACCCTCTTTTTGTCTTATAAATTGCTTTCACGCTGCAGAAATGGAGCACTGATATCAAAATTGCAGGTTTTAGGGTTTACCGTTACTCCGAAGCCCTACTCACCGCGCCGTGGAAGCGGTAAATGTTTGTGCAAACAACCATCGGAGCGATGTACCTTATCAAGCTGCGAAAGGCACTGTGTCTAGACAGTATACTGCGCAAAAAAGCTTATTGGCGTCGAGAACATGTCGCGAGATGCGTCGTTTCATAATTGGTGTGGTGTATGTACAGCTGTATTAGAGTAATTGGCATGAAGGCTGGAAAGCGTGGCTGTTAATCAGTATCAGTCAGCCTAGGCTTTATGCCGTTGCCGAGTCTGCCTGCAGGTGTTTAGAAATGATGGATTAATTCTGGAAAGGCATTGATTTATTTCACTGTGTATAACAAGGACAAGAAAATTGGTTTACGTGGAACTGACGTGGTGGGAGAAACGTAGGTATTGGAATGTTACGCGCGTTACAAGAGCGCTGCAGCCGACTGAAGCAACACGAATGACCAGATGGCCGAAATGCTGGCCAAAGTGACTGATAGACGATGCGGATGGATGTGACGCTTCGGCCTGGATGACGCACGCTGCGGTTGCCGATAGAGTGTCTTGCTTTATTTGAAAAGGTGCTTCAAATATGTAAATTATAATTGTACTGCGAAGTGAGGAATAACGAAGTGTGATGTGACGATGGATGGCAGTGATGCAATGGCGGTCAGACGCTATCCGACAACCGCCCAGAGTTTACTAGTTAAGTATACGGGTGAACGAGGCAAAAAGGAAGGATCCAGAGAAGCATGGACCGTTGGTCTTCCTAGCAGGAAGAGGGATGCTGTTAACGAAGGCAGATTGTTGTTGGTGGTGTGGACGAAACAAGAGGAGCTGATGTATGCTAGTTAGTCTTGGACTGCACTTGAAGGAGTGAGGGAAGGCAAGGAACAGAAGGGAAAGGGGCAGGAAAAAGAGGATGTTGAGAGTGGTGAGCTCCAGGATACATTCCTCGAAATGCAACGGAATCGAGCTGAAGCTTGGCGAGAGCTTGTCAGCTAATACTAGAATCTAGATGCTGCTGCTCAGGCTGTTCCCTCACAAATCAATAGCCAACGGAGAGTGTGGTGCATTGCCGCTGCTGCCGCCGGGTAGCTTGTTGATGGAAGGAACTGTTCCCGGAGAACAAATGAACTAGCCCTCTACATGTCAGGTGAGTGAACATTTCTAAAACAACAGCTCCTACTACTACTACTTCTACTACTACTATTACTACTACTGCTGTTACTACTACAGTAACAACTATTGAAAGTGTGAGAAGTTGTCAGCGCTACTGCATTTGCTCTACTACTGTTACACTTATCACTTTTGTTGCCTTTTATTGCTGATGTGGTACTTTGCAAATCCATACACTCCAGTACTGATATCCCCGTGGCCGGGACCGTACAAACAGAAATGCCGAACTTTGTTTTCTTCTCACTGGAAAGAGGCGTGTGTGTCGCAGCTCCGACATTTTATGGCACTTAACTACTTTATGAATCTTGCTTTTTATGTAATTTTGCACTACTGATGAAGTGCAAAAAAGAATATTGTCTAAAAGTTGGCTGCCTGGTCTGATTTTATCCCTCACTTTCAATGAGCAATCAGAGAAGCTAGGAAACTGTAATTGTACGAGAATGTTTCCGATTAGTGTGCAGTTCGTAAACCCAAAACCAACTCGAACGTACGCCCTTGCCTCACCTATTAGCTTCTGAAAGCCAATATTGAAAAAAGTTAATGGGAAATGATTTTGGTAAGCGGACAAGATAAGAAGCTGAAATTTTATGAGGATGTTCATTATCCACGTAAGATCCGATGATTCAACTATGGCGCATGTTTACATTGCGCGTAGACGCAAGTGAGGATTCAAGTTAGGACGGTGTTGACACCTTTGTAAGTCAGGAATCAGAATGAATAGAAAGCACCACTTACACAACGATGTTTTTTCTGTCTATATGTAGGCCCACAAGCGTAAAATGAACTTCCGCATATACTTTTTCGGAAACGTCAAAATTTCAATTTTTAAAAAAGTTGGCCACTTTCTCTCTCGAAGACGAGGCAGGCTAGAAAGCTGAATTTCTGTTTAACGTTACCTGTCTGTGTGTAATTCCAAGAACATAAGTTGGATGTCCACGTACGCCTATCTCGCTCGCGGATACTTCAAAATTGTATTTGCCAAATTGTTGACAACCTCATCTAATAACAGTTAAACATGCCAGAAAGCTGAAATTTCATGAGGGGGTGGCAGGCTAGTACATCACTGGCCCAGCCAATGCCTCTTTCCCCCGAACATAAGAGACCAACAACAGCATTCCCAAGATGAGCACACATATCAAATTGTAAAGCAGGCAAGGGCAACCCTGGCGACACAAGAGCCTGATTTACATAATTACTTAAGCTCGCGGGCCACTTTTTAATAAAACTCAGGTAGCTGCGCATTGGGCTTACCCATACGATCATGTGTTTTTGCGGTAAACTTGGCACAATCAGATGTAACAGTACGAACGGCTTTTGTTTTACAATTTAACATCATGCAACTTATGTGCCTGTGCTTTGGCCTTTTCTCGCATGCTGAGGAAAAGGACCTCGGTTGGGACGATGGTGTTGCGCCGTGACTCTCCCGTTGCTGAATTGAAAGTGGGGGAGAGAATTCACTAGTTTTTGAAAACTCACATACACACACACACACA